GCCATGGCTTGATTTTTAACGCGAGTGTCGCAGCATGCGCTTTGTGGTTGCCGGTCGACACACGATAACTGGCATTGAGAGACCGAGGACTGGCAAGAAGTGGCAGCATCGCACGAGGATGCTTACATCCGAGTGTTAGAAAGTGCTTACGGCCCGGCGCTGGGATCATGTAATGAAAAGCATTCATTGCCTCGACCAGTCTGCACCTTTGCTGGCCAAGGATCTCTGCCCCAAACAATTTACACCCTGGTTCTGGCCGTGCCTCGCCTGCACTTCGTGAATGTCCCGTATTGAAGCTACTTCGGCTCCTGCAGAGCGAGGTGCTTGGCGGCAGAAGCTGGCACGAGGTCTGTACGCCTCTCATGCAGGCCACCTCTTCCTTTCTATGTATGCGTTTGAGTCTGATTCGATGTCTCTGGCGCAGGTCGGATGGTTTCCAGTCTCGTCGGCAGCTGAGCATGGGGCTTTCCAAAACGCCAAAACTATGTGCCAAGGTTTTTAGGCATACCAGTTCTCCAGTGCAGATCTTCGCCTCAGGCTTCTGCTGGTGTACGTGGCATTTGTCGTCCTGGCCGTCCTGAATGCTCCTTGACCAACTAGGTAACTAGGATAGCATGGAACAGCTACCAAAAACTTGACAAGGTTGTGACGGGCGTCTTCGTGGACAATGCTTTCCGATGTGCCGAGAAGCAGCGCAGCCTAGCCCCGTGGCTGCAGCCTTGCTATCTGCTAAGTCTGCAAGGGCCTACGGCTAAGGGTCTGCTCGGCTCGAGAGAGGGGTTCGAGACGTTGAGTCATTTTTGCCATGCACCTCACGGGCTTCCCGGCTCTCTCCGGCGCAGCCGAGGCCATTCAGAAAGAGATGGAGCGGCCCTCCGCCTCTTGAAGCCTGTCCTTGTGATAGTTTCGTCGTGCAGTTTCGGTCCACTTTTGTCATTGCAAGATGCCAACAGTGTTGTGGTTGTCGGGCAGGGCATATGTTGGGTGACCGGAGTCATTCCAGATGTGTCGATCGCGGCTGGATTCCAAGCCTAGGCAAGAGCAGTTCGTGCAGCAGATACGCGACTTTTTTAGGGCAATGGACCAGGACATTGGGCAAGTTTTGCTTCAAGTGAGGCGACACTGTCAACAGGGAAGTTACCATCTATGTAGCAGGATGATTCTGGAGACGTCACGCCGGAGGAATTGGCGGCAGGGTCCCGAGTCCCGAGTTGTGCTGCATCACACCAACAGATTTGTCTGGCTGCCCTGCCCTATGATGCCCAGTGCAGAATGGGTGCGGCCTGGAGCGGCAGACAAGTCACAAGACCCGTTTTGCTTCTGCTGCGCAGAAGATAGTTCACCATGCTTGGTGTGCTCATATGAATTTTCCAAGCATCTCGCAAAAGGTTAGTTATTTGTCCAAGAATTTGGGGTGTTGTGAGCCCTTGACGCTTGCCGAGTAAGAACAGAACCGCGAAGTCGTGCAACATCTTGATTTACAGCAGGGTCGCATGTCCATGTTTTGTCGATGCTCTGGCAGCCCGATCTGTTTTTGCAGAGGTCAGTGAAATTCAATGTCCACTTGGACCGGCTAGAAGCTGCTAGAAGGATAACGGAGGTGTTGGGCAGCCTTGCCCATGCCTTGAAGCTCTGGCCTCTGTTTCTGTGCCACTGCGAAAACAGATCAGATCCTCCACTCCAGGATGACGCAGAGACAGAGAAATGTGGTGGTGAAATGGTTGAACTGAGACACGGGCTGGTGCTGAGGAGATGTTGAAAGACCCGACGCTGTCGGCGTACTTTCGCGTGCTTGGCTTTGAAATCGATGATGCCGCCCGTCAGCACACCATATATCATAGGTACGCCATGGTGTGGTCGGGCAGCGTGCGGTGGTCCGACTCAGTCCATTGCAGGTACAACCTGCGGGCCCTAGCGTCTGTAGTGTTCACAGCAGAGTCGACAGCGTGTGGGCAACGACAAGCAACCTAGGCGGCTCGATTTATCAACTTGCTGGACAAGGACAAGGACGGCGCAATCAGCAATCTCGTCCGCAAGGAGCCCTTCCGCGTGAACCACAGCAAGTAAGCGTGCTAAGGTATGGAAGAGTTCCTCCGCGGCTGTCTTCAATACCGCGGCGTCGCCACTGCAGTCGACATGCATCAATGCCTGCGCCTCGCCCCTTGCCAGCAAGCCGCAAGGGTTGCGGAGCACCGATGCACCGAAAGCGGAGACTCTCAGGTACGCCAGACTCAACGGGCACTCCTGGAGCTGAGATCTTCCTTCGATGGAAAGCCTTCGTCGCGGTCTCCAGAGAGCCCCCGATACATGCTAGGCGCTTCCCTGCTGCGTTCGCCGAAGATGCTTCGTACTTCCGACCATGCCAGGGCCCACGGCTCAAGATACAGGCTTGATATTCAATGAGAGAGAGCTCAAAGGCACGAAGGGTGCAGCCCAGCTTTGGTCTTTCGGTGTCCCCAGGCAAAGAAGCAAGAAACCCCTGAAAGCATCCTTCTTTTCCATTGTTCCTTGAGCCATGGACTTGGACAGCGAGGATGCTGACCCAGCGGAAGCAGACACCCTTGACGACCACACCGCAGCCCGGCGATCGAGGCGTGGAAAAGGCACCGAGGTCTCCAAAGAACTATCTTTGCCGCCTCAAAAGGGTCGTCTGCGCCTGCGACCAACGATCCCGGCTGTCGAAGGCTATGAGGGCAAAGCTGTCAGCAGGGATGCAGTCTTTGGCCGGGAGGAGAAGCTGCTAGAAGGGTATGGTCGGTTGCAAGAGCGATTGACCGAAGACTTGGAGGACGTAGATGACACCGAGACGCAAGTGGAGGGATCCGCGTTCGGAATCTCGGGCGATATCGAGAAAGAGTATTCCAAGTTGATGCGGTCAGAGCAAGAACTGGCGGTGATGCGACAACCCTCGAGTGCAGACATTGCCCAAAAAGCAGAAAATGCAAAGGATCTGAAGAGACAAATCGAAACCTGGGGAGCACTGGTCGAGCTCCGTATCCACTTGGAGGGGGCGTTGTCGATGGCCCACAGATTGCCAAGTGGAATTGTAGCCGGGCTTTTCGACACAGCGGACACTCGCGTTCTCACTCAGTCTAGTGCTGTGGCCACGGATGTTAGCAAGTTCCTTGGCTCCCTGATGTCACTACAGGAGCAGATGATCGCACATGAATGTCCGAGTGTGTCAACTGATCTTCAAGGCAGTGCAGCTTCGGTAGCTCCAAGCCTAGAAGACAAAGCTTGGCAGATGACAGATGCCAGGTTGCAGGGAGTTCTGGATTGGGCACTCAACGTGGCGGATGAATGGAAGGAGCATACCCGTTTGGATGCCAGGCGCTCTTTTAAGATGCTCGATCAGTCACTGCGGCTGCAGATGCAGGCAGTCTCCGATGCCGAGCCGGAAAAGCTACGAAAGCGCTGCACCCCTCCTCCTGGCAAGCATGCCGTTTTCGGAAAGTCCGTGAAGGTCATCTCGGAGTCTGCTGAGAGCAGCACGGCGCAAACACCCGACAGTGCGGATGCTAGCCTAGAAAACATCTTCGACGACCGAGATTTCTATGTGCAGCTGCTGCGGGAAGTCTTATCCAGCAATGCAGGCGGCGCACTCGTTCAGAGCGCAGAAGAAAAGGAGCTCTATGCGGAAGTACAGGGCCGACGGGCTGCCAAAAGGAAAGCCCGAGCGGATGTTGAGCGTCGCGCCTCTAAAGGTCGGAAGATTCGGTACAGGCCAATAGAGAAGCTACAGAACTTCATGACAGGCCGACCGCGTGGCATTTTCAGCTCTCAAAAGACCTTGGGATTGGAAGATGTAGAGCCGCTCAGTCAACACGCCTCTGACGCGATGCTGCGTTCTTTGTTCGCTCCAGCGAAGGCGCTGTAGACGCGAGTCGTTTCACCGCGGCTTATGCTAGCTTGGCATTTTGCCACGACCTCAACAAACAGCGCGGGCAGAAACCAAAGGGTTTGCAGAGCTGCCAGTCATCTTCAGAGAGGGAAGCATCAGGGCAAGCGATTGTTTGTAGAGTCAGGCTGTCAGGCTGCTCACAGCGCACACTGAAGGTTGAACATCGCTTCATGCCTGAGCGGCAACACATCGCCTGCTTCTTGTGTTTGGGTGATGCATACGCTAGGATGAATACCGTTACGATAGAACAAACACATTGCTCGGTTGAACTGCCGAGAACTGCCAAGTTGTTTGCTGGTCAGGAACACCGCGATCTGAAACGGCAATGTCTTTGCCACGGCCTTAGCAGCCAGCAGAATTTACTCAACAATGTTTCTCTCCTTGTGCTTTCGTCCGCACCAGGAGAACAACCATCATGACCAATGCCTGATCGTGTTGCTTGTTCGCTGCACAGAGGCTCAGAACGATTTTTTACGGCGCAGGCGCAGCCAGCTTCGCGGCACCACACTCCTACCAATCAGATGTAGGCTCGCCAATTGTCGAGAAGCCGGGTGTGCTGCGCCCAGTACACGTCCCTAAGTAGCTCCTCAGGTTGAGCCGAGATGTGTCTTTGAAACAGGTCTCCAAAGGAGACATGCGTGTTTCACCTTTCATATTCCAAGCAGCCCCACCGAAGTGCCCAGGATTGTGGAGGATGTCTCTCTTTATGTTTCCAGGAGATTCGGCCGGGTTTTGGATCTGTTGGGCTGGTGCCGTCGCAATCCGTTTATGGCCAGACTCGGCACTCGCCAGTTCCATCCAGAGCGCAGAAACCTGCGGCCAGGCTTCTAAGGCCTGTAGACCCCCCAAGCTGCAAGAGGAGTGGAATCTTCTAGCGACCTCAGCTTGGAAGACCACTGGAATTGGTTTCCGCCGTCTTCGGGGCGGGGGGTCCCCAATAATTATGGATTTGGATTCAGTTCCATGGGCCGAGCCCATGGCGTCCATTTCGTGGGCGACCGATCCATCAAAGGAATCCCGGAGCTGAAAAAAAGGCTCGGGTTTGCTCCTTTGAGCGGGGCTGAGGAGTCTCGCAACCGCTCGCACTCTCTTACGTCAGGAAGGGACCGAGAGGCAGCTTCCGGAATTCAACGTCGGAATCTTTGCCCCGTCCTTACTGGGAGATGCAAGAGCTTTTTTTTTGGCGGTGAGGATGCAGTTGTGGACATGTTGAGAGAGATCGTTGTAAAGGTCAAAAAGGAGTTCCAAACAGCTGCGGAGTGGCCAAGTGCTCGGATGATCGCCTACACGTCCATGCGTTTTCGTGTCTCTCCAGCGAGCTTTGTCTTGCTTGGCAAGACGTATCCAGGTTTCACGAGAAGGACAAGAAACAGCTGTTAGTCTCTCAGACTCGGTTTTGTCGTCTTTCGCTCTATATCTCGGTGGTTTGCGCAGCAGTGAAACCTGACCCGGGGGCACATTAGGCTCAAGAGAGGGCTCAGGGGCGCCATGCGGGCGGAGAGTCGGCGACATGTCTGCGGGCCCGGCAGCATGGCCCCAGTGCCACGACCTGGACGTTCAGGAATTGTGCGCCCAACGCTATCAGACACTGAACTTTGGCAATTCTCCATCCGTGCTGCAAGATTTGGGTGTGTGGGAGAGAAGGAGCGGGACAGACTCGACACAACATGCAAGGATTCCGAAAAAGTGTATCATCCACTCAAAAGCTGTAATTAGTCATAGTTTATGGAAGTAGTCATTCGGATCAGTGGGCGTGCGGCTTGGCCCCCGTTGACCTGGACGAAAAAGGAGGGAGAGACTCAAGCAAGCTTCTCGTGCCGTGTAACAGAAGCCGATGCCGACGAGAATGCAGAACCCCGGTTTAGCAGTAATGGAGACTCAAGAGATAGACGCCCAAGAAAGGACTAGAAACAATAGCCACGGCATGAAGCCACAGATGCGTTGCACATGAACCAATTCATTATATACTGTACGAGCGCACACGGAGCAGATAACAAACAACTCAGCATCTTGTCTAAGTACATACTGGAGATAATATATCTTTACCAAATTCAGCACTATGTCTTCCATTTCCCCAGTCGAACTTGCTGTACTTGTATCTTTGCTAAGTACAACATAGTCAAACTATTGAATGCACTTGCTCCACAATGCTCCACACGCCTATCCTACGCATGTCTGCTGTCTACTTACTAAACACCCCGCCACGCACGCACGTGCTCGCGTACGCGCACGCACTCACGCGCACGCGCACGCTCGCGTACGCACACGTGCACGCACGCACGCACACGTGAACGCACGCAAACGCCTGCCCGCCCCCCCGCCCGCCCGCACATACATGCGAACAGCGAAACGAACATACACGCATGCATGCATACACACATACCTGCATACATATACGTGTGTGCCTGCATGTGTATTTACCCCTGATATGCATACAAAACAGGCATTCTCCTTCGACATCCATTCCTCTCTTCACTCGGTCTCAATGCCATTCTCACTTTCAATCACTCTTGTCGCTCTCAACTCTACCTCGCTTAAACTCGCATTTGCACTCGCAGTCTCATTCCTTTCCTTTCTCTCCCTCTCTCGGTGTCTCGCTCTTATCCTGCGTCTCTCTCTCTCTCTCTCTCTTGCTCTCGCGCCTGTGTAGGCTGCTTGTAGATTTGTGGATAAAGCGGCACAGAGGCCTGTCTCAATCCCAGGAATCCAAAGATGTTGACAACTTCGCTTCGAGACCATGCTCAGAAGTTCGGGGCAGCCTCCGCGATTCAGGTTCTTGCTGCTTGTGCGTGATTAAGCATGGATACGATCTGGCTCGATCTACAGGTCCTGCGATGCCTCGTGGAGAATGCAATGGAAGCAAACGTGTGACTTGCGTGACAGAAAAAGGGAGCAGTCCTCGCTTGGTGCGTGCGTGCGTGTGTGGCGTGTGTGTGTGTGTGTAAATATGTAACAAGGTAAGAGTGTGGGTGTGCGTGGGTCTGTACAGTGCATGCAATCGGCCCCTCAAGGTATCACGCGAATGCAATCATTGGCAGATGCTCGGTTGATGACTGGAGGTTGGCATTGGGCTGGCTGTTGGGCATGTCGCGAATGGCCGCAAGAAGAGACGCAGTGAGCCTTCTGACTACAATTGTCAATAAAACGGAAGCGTAAACCTGTCAGAGCCTGCCATTGACTACTTCGGACCCTTCATTTGTTTGCAATGCAGAGGCTACAGCGCGGCTATCAATGTCTTAGAGAAGGCAAGCCAGTGGCCAAAGGCTGTAGCTCTGTCTTGCCGCTCAGCTGAAAGAGCGACGGCTGTGCTGTAACTACACTGAACTAGACCTCGCGAAATCGTAGACGAAACTTTTTTGCAATTTGGTCGCTCTGTCGAAATACTGAGGGGATATGATGTCAGCTGGGATCCGACCGAACGCACAAGGTTGCAGTGCGTTGTTGAATGCCGGCCAGACACTGGGCACTAGGTAGCCGGCCTGCGCACACTGGTTATGTCCTGCACTCTTACTCTTACTCCTTCACAATGATGGTCGCCCAAGGAAAGGTTGCCCATGGCAGCTCAGCTTTCATTTTCTGTACCTCGGATTTATCGTGGCCTTTAGAGCTCGGCTCGAGCAAACTCAATAAACTCTGCGGCGCATCCCCTGCAAGGGTCTTCGCCTCCCGAGCCGGCCTTCGACTTGCTACCCGGCAGCACGACAGTAGCAGCACGCCGGTAGCGGCACGCCGGTAGCAGAACGCCGGTAGCGGCACGCCGGTAGCGGCACGCCGGTAGCGGCACGCCGGTAGCGGCATGGTGTGCATGAGCTTGGTTTGGACTGTTTGCTTTTCTGAGTGGAATCTTCCAACACAGCCTTTTGCTGAGGGCACCATGGGCCAAAATGCCGCCATCCGCGCCTGCGATCCTTGGGAACATGCCTGGAATTTGCTGCACACGATGCAGAGCTGCAGGCCTTGCATGGATACCGCTCTCATAAAGGCTTTCTTACTTCTGAGCGAGCGACAGCTCGAGTGCAGGAACTCTCCAGACCGTTGCAGTTTCAATGCGGGCCTTGATTCTCTGGGGATGCATTGGCGCATGTGCATGAATGGCCTGGTTTCGAACCTCTGCTACATGGTGTGATTGCCAGTCTGGATGATGATGCTGTAATGAGCTGTGTCTGCTGCCAGACAATGGCCGGGCTTCTTGCAGGCGCCTCGACCTTGACAACATAGCCTTCAACACCATGATCAGCTCATGTTCAAGCCGTGGGAGATGGTTTTTGGCCACAAACCTGCTGGATTACATGGTCGCGCGCCCAAGCCTGTCAGCCAATGGCTACTGTCGGCGCAAGGCATGTGTGGAAACTTCAGGCTATCAAACTCCTTCAGCAGGATGTTGTGAGCTACAGCGCCGCGATGCAGGGGTGCTTCTTCGCAGCACTTGGTAACAAAAGCCTGCCTTGATGGGCGATCGCGACATGCAACGGAGGCGAAGGCAACGGCAAGTGGACTTTAGCAACTGTCTTGCTTGCCAGATCTCTGGAGGCAGCGGTGCACGGCTTATTTGTTCACCGCAGCATGTCGAGCGACGAATCAATCCATGCAAGATCTCAGCAAGAAGTGCTGCAAACGCAAGGTTTGTCCCAATTGTGTTGCCGTAAATACTTTGCTGAGCACCTGCTTGCTTGGAGACTGGTATGTGGCAACAAGCTTGGTGACCAGCATCCTGTTTTGCATACAGTGAACGAAATCCGGCCGATGCAGCGTGTGGGTGGATAGTCATGAACATTGCAACCGTGACCCAAGGCTCACTTGGATGGCGTGTTGCACCCGACACGACTACGTGGAACAGTGTCCTTAACGCTTGCGACAGGTCGGAGAAATGGCAGTTCGCTGTGGAGGTGTTGCGAAACGAGCGCTGTGCTGCAGACGTCATTGGCTGCACGGCAGCCATCAGTGCATGCGGAAAAGGTGGTCAATGGAAGCTGACTTTGGATCTGCTGCTCGAGATGTCAAAAGCTCGACTGAAACCCGACGACGCTTGTGCCTTTGCTGCCTGTTTCAGTGCCCATCTCTGCGTGTTGCAGGCATTGCCGGAACGATTCCAGTCCAGAGGATTTAAGAGGGTTTGTGGTGGTCAGTATGTAGTAGCTGGTGTAGTACCTCTGTCAGCCTTAGGCTTCAACGCGGCCATTGATGCATGCGCAAGCGCTGGGCGACGGCAGCAAGCCTGGGACCTCCTCCTGCTGGCCGAGAGTGGCGAGTTGTCCCGATCCATCTCATCGCTCCCATGGGCACTTGCCAGGCTCCTGAAATGCAGAAGCAAAGACTGGCATCATGCATCGCTGTGCTTCCCTGTCCCGGCTAGGCTCCAAATTGCTGACCCACTGCTTGTGCAAGCGTGTTTCATACAAACTGTTCGCAACCTGGTCGCAGAGCCGCCTGAATATGTGCCCTCTAGTTCTTTTCGATGTCGTATGAAAAGGCTGTCCGCTTGCTCCAGGTGGCCTCTCGGCCGCCTCGACACGACCTTTGTCTACCTTGGTCTGGGCCTTCTCACTTCTGGGAGTCCCCGGAGCTTCGCTGGAAGTCTTGTACCAGCTCGTCACCCTGCACCGCTGTAGTCTGGATGACCTGCTGCTACTGTCTTGGGGCTTCATAGAGCTTCCCTCTGCGTCTGCTTGCCTACAAATACAACAGGAAGCAGTAGACCGAATAACGCAGCGAGAAGTCAGGGAACGCCATCGTTGGATTCGTTTCGCAGAGAGCGTCCTCGGCGTGCTTTGGGCTTGGAACTTTGCAGGGTTGCTTGGAGCGCCGCTGCTGGATGCCTGCAGGCATGCGATCTGCGAGGGTTCTGCGCGCTTAGACCGCGAGATGGGGACTTCGACTTCAGGAAAGCGACCGGGAGCCAGGGAGGTCTTCGTCAAAGCCAGGACCGATCCTTCGGTGATTCTTGACATGGGCGACACTTTGGTCATGTTCAAGCCGCCTGGATGGGAGGTCTACGATGGTATGGTTGAACTCCAGATGACCGACTTTCTCCGTAGTTTGGCTCGTGGCAAGATTCCAATACTGGACGACGCACGGCATGGATGCGGGTTCCTTCACCGCTTGGATGTCCCTAGCTCTGGATTGGTCTTGGCCGCTACGACTTATCAAGCATGGTATGAGTTGCAGATGCAGTTGGTGAGCGGTTCCCTCTTGCGGGAATATGTCGTTCTTTGCCAGGGCTGGGTTCCGACCAGCTTGCGATGCGTCTCTGCTCGTCTTCGTTCCGGCGAGACAGTTTCCTCAGGATATTCGGGCAAGCCGTGTATCACACACTTGAAGGTCGTGGCGCATGCCAGACGCAAGCGAAGGGCGATGAGCCTGGCAGCCGTACAGATCTTAACAGGCCGGAAGCATCAAATTCGAAGCCACATGGCCTGGGTTGGGCATCCCACGGTTCATGACGGCAAGTATGCCGCGAGAGTAACCGTACTGGAGAATGCACAGTTCTGCACGCGGAATTTTCTGCACCGATATCATTTGTCTTTCCTTGATGCGGCCGGGGCGGGGCGCAGCGCCTGGCACTTACTCCCTTCTGATCTCGTGGAGGTTCTTAGAGAACTGAGCCCGAAAGAGGGACATTCTCAAGTAGCTCTGCATTCATGGCAAGAACGGAGGCTTCAAGTTTTCGAAGATCAAGTCGTGTTAGAAAATGAAGGGTGCAGCTCATTTTTTGCCGATGCTGCTGCCATGGCATTGCGTGCTCTTCTTGTTCTAGATTCTAGATGGGTGAAGCCAGGGATTCCGAAATCCCGGACCATCGAGCTGCTTCTCGTGACATCATGGCCCAAAGCCAAAGCCCGACAGCCAAAGAAGCTGCGTCTGCTTTGTGGCTATGCCGGACACCAATTCCTTGCATGGCGCCCTTGGCCGCCTCAGCAGGTCTCATGCGACATCGAAACTGGAAGAAGCGGGTTTTTTCCTAGGTGCTTCTCGTGATTTCTGGATTGTGCTGGCGAGCTGCGTTGCAGCATGCTTGGTGAGCTTCTTTGCATCCTTTGCGGCAGTCGAGCTCCAGACGAGGAGGCGAGGCCTTCGGAGTGTCGACGATGGCAGCGGAAGTGACAGTGAGAGCGCATCTCATTCGGAACTTCTGGATCCCCTGCTGGAAAAGCCCGCTGCCAACCCCGGCTTCGTGCAGAGGGTGCTTTTCAAGGCAGACTTCTACGGAGGAACTTTCGCCTTTAATGCCGACCTTGCACTACGATGCTCTGTGGTTACGCTCTTTTGCGCAGCGACCTACTTCTTCGAGTGGCTCTCCTGGTGGCAGAAGCAGGGATGGGAGATGAGCTACGTGGTGGTGATCCTCGCTTTCTCCTTCTACCTGGACTTAGGAACCACGAACTACCTGGCATGGACCGGTTTCTACGGCACGCTGCTGCCGGTGGTTAACTGCTGGTTTATGTACGGGATGTTTCCATCAGGGGTGAAGGTCGATGACGACCAGTGGGATCCCTCGTGGGCATACATCTTTGGCTATGTGAACTTCTTCTGTGTCGTGCTACTCACTGTGAGCTTCAACTTTGCAACTAATGCTAAGATGTTCGCATTGTCCTGGCAAGCCTACTTCACCATGTGTTTCATCAACCCGGATGACACAACTTTGTTCAGCAGGGGCCCTGCGGATGTACTTCTGAAGGGTGCGGAGACGGGAGCCTTGATGGGCACTGTCTGGGGATGTGTCTTTGCAGTCTTCGCTTCCATCTTGCCAACATGCATCTCTTCCCTCAAACTGGCGCAAGACGTCGTCCTGCAGGTGGCCTGGTCTCAAGGCCGATTGATTGAGCAGCTCGTGAATCTCAGGGGTGTGAACATGGATTCGCAGACCTCCGTCGTCTTTGCTGCGGAAGTGCGTGCCCTGCATCAGCAGATTATGAAAGCCAAGGCCTCGCTGGAGAATAGCTGGTGGGAGTGCTTCGGCTGGGGCAGGGCAGGGCGATCAAGCTCGATGCTGGTACAGATCTGCGATGCTTTTGACATCCTTAATGACTGGCTTGAAGCCATCATCATGAGTGTGCAGCATTCTGAAGCTGTTTCAACCAGCCAGCACATATTTGATGCAATCGTGCCGGAACTTGAAGAGCTCGTGAGGGCATCAAGGCTGTGCCTGCATCTGTCTGCAACGGTTGCGGTGAGTGGCCGCCATGATGACGATGAGACCCTGCGCGCCGCCTTGGAGGCCCTTGATCAAGCGCAGGCTCGTCTTGCCCAGCGATTCAAGATGCACATTTCTACATCTCCTTTGTTGGAGGCCTTTAAAACAGACCATCTTCCCGAGCTGGCGCTGGCTGGCAGCATGAGTGGCTACAGCCAAGCTATCGCCGACCACACCCGGTTCTTGCTGGAAACTGATCTGCCTCCAACTACCAGTCTGTTCTGCACCTGCATCCAGGGAGTGATGGCCTTGCCACCGACCTTGAAGGACTTGAAGTCTGATGCATACCACCGAGAGACTTGGAAGGTCTTCGTCACGTTCGTCCTCTGCTTTGTGCTCGGAAGGTTTGGACTCGGCTCAGCGCAAAAGTTCGTGCCAAACTACAACTCCACGCCAGCTGGAACTGTTGCCTACCTTATCTTCCAGGGTGGGAACGAGGCGGCGGCTCTAAAGAAGAACACGGACAGGTTTCTGGGGGTCGGTCTTGGAACGATGCTGGGCCAGCTCACTTTGGGTACCTCCTGCGCTTTTGGCAACTTCTTCCAGACAGCCTTCATTTCGCAACTCTTCTTGCCGGTATACGTGATAGTCGAATTCGCATCGTTCTACCTTTACTTTGGCTCTCCGAGCTTCAGCTATGTTGGATTGCTCGTGGCCTGTTTCTTTGCTGAACATGCCTTGGCTAAGTGTGGCGACATCACGCACGACAGCCTGACGAACTACGTCAATCTTCTCAGCCAGCTGCTGGCCATTGGCATTGCATCGTTAATGGATGTAGCCACGGACGCATCCCTCAGTGTCCGCGCAACAGCAGACCTTGAAGCCTTCATCGGGGTGTTCCATGACGCAATCTCTTGCTTTACGCCAGGGAACGTGGGGAATGTGCAGGACTTCCGGGCTCAGGGTCTGGCTCTTCTGAGCTCAGCTCGGGCCAATGGCCAGGAGGCTGGCCGTGAGCCTCGCCTCCGACGCGCGCCGTGGCGGGCGGAACTTTGGGGAAACGTGATGCAATTCTGCGGGGAAGCCTGGCAGTGTCTCACAATCCTGGGTTGCACCGCGACACAGTCCAGCCGACAACAGGTTGTGATTCGTAAAGCGGGGCACGTGCTTCTATCGTCGCACCACTTTGTCCACGAGTTGGAAGCACTGAAGCAGAGAGCACACGAGGCCTTCGATCTCACTATGAATCTCATGAGGCAGGACTTTGCCGGTGACATCAGCCCGGTCACGATGGACTTGCAGCAGCAGCCCGTGGCATCCAACAGGATTCGTGTCAAGGCGGCACCCGAGATTCTGAGCGACGTTCGCAAGAGGCTGGCGCGAGAGCAAGCTGCACCGTCTCTTCTGCAAGACGAATTGTGTTCAGTGGCCATGATGTTGATGATGCTTGAGGCGCGAGGCCGTCGAATGTTAGTTGAGATGTCACTCCTTCACCCTGCTGTTTTCAGGCACTGGCCGTCCGTGTGCAGCGGCTGGAGACCGATCTGCTGAAGCAGCCTGAGATGTGGCAGCTCCTGACACAAGAAGACCACAAGTGAGCGCAACTTGTTAAGCCGCTAAGTATGATTATTGACTATGATTCAGTGACAATGACAAATGTCATGTGCAACCCCTAAAATGAATGATTTCTTCAAGCCTGCCTGAAGGCAAGCTTCGCGACGCCAGGTATCTCCTAAATTTGGCGGTTGCATGATTTGGTTGATGCTTATGGATGACTGAACTCAGAGAAAAAAGCTGCAGCTTGCTTAATCTCATTCTTTGGTGTTTGTTCAACGAACTCTAGACTTTCCCGTCTTGCTTCCTTCCACAACCTGTGACCCACCGGGTGCATTACCGAGGGATGAAGCTTTTCCGCCAGTTGGATGGGCGCTCAGCGTCGTCCTGCCAAAGATCCGCTGTGTGTGACTTCGATATGTTGCAAGGTCCAAACTGGGTGAAGACGCAGATGGGAACACCCATCCCGCAGCTGCCTGGCGTCCGGAGCCAAGCTACTAAGCCCGGAAAACTACAACCAGTTCTTGAGCCTGAAAGGTTTGGTACATGCACGAGCGCCAGAACCAGGAGGGCAGATTCCCCAGCGGCACGATGACAGGTACTCGCTGTTTTGAGGGTTTTCAACAGAAAATTTTCCGCGTCAAGGCAAGCACCAGCCTTGGCTCTTTTTCAACGCATCCCTCGGCCGGCACCGATGCTTAGCCCATGCTCGCTCCTGCCATCAGACAGTGACAGGCAAGTTCCCGGCATCGTTTTGGCTTGGCATAACAAAGAATCACGCTTCATTTACTCTGCAGAGCAGACCAAGGTATTTTCGACAGCGAGGAGGCGAAGGTGGCAAGTGGCCTTGCTCAGAACCTGTCTTCAGAACGAGCAGCGAGGACATCCTTTTGCAGTATCCGTGGTGCAGTTGGCAAACGCAGATGTTGGCTCAACCAGGGCTTTAGTTGCGCTCGCGGTGCATGGCGGAAGCTTCCGCAGTGAATACATATTGTCAGAAGTGCCTTGGCCTGGCATTACGAAAATTGGTTCAATGCGGCTGCCACCATGCTGGTCGAGAGCCTTGTTCCTCGCATTCAGGAATGGAACACCATTTCAGGCGAGGCTAACCTTTCTTTGGGGGCATCACTTTTTGCAGTTGTTTGGTTGTTTGGTTTGTCCTAAGAGGTGTCAATTCAACCATCACCGGACGGATTCCAATGCTGCCAGTTTGCACAGAGCCTGCAAGAAGCGTTGTGTTCCCGAGCAACTGATGCTTGCACAGTGAGGTACCCTTACCATCCCAGGACTGCCTGAGAACTCTGTCCGGGCATTGCCGACGCTCACTCCTGAAAGGAGTGCAGAGGGTGTCCATTGCCGCTGCCTCCAGCAACTCTGTTGCATGTTTGCAGCCGGAGCCTAGCAACTTGCCGAACAGTTCCTCTCGTCTCAGGCAAGAAAGGCGCCCAGGCGCAGTCGCCTCGGATGCTGAACTGAGAGTCGTGTCTCTGCTCGAGGGTCTCACTAACATCGAGCTTGGAACGGGCATGCTGGCTTCCGCCGATCGTGTTCGTTTGCCATTGTGTGCCCAAGGTTGGCAATGCAGGACATGTTCCAATTCCTCGAGAGATCCGGTCTGCTCCAAGCAATGACTCTCGGCCGCGGTCGGCTGCGAAAACTCTGCAACCCTTGTCTCAAGATGATTCTGGGCAGAAGACTAAGGGCCGAGCCTTCCGGCAAGAAGCGCAAGGTTTCGGGAGGAGCTTTACCACAAACGGCTCCGGTTAGCCAGCAAAGCCTGGCACACAAGGTGCCGGCATGTCGGAAACGGAGTGCCGTCGGACTATCTGGCGATTGTGTCAAGGCAGACAGGAGGTCAAGGTTTGAAAATTGCTCAGAGGTGCCATCCTTGCAACGCCACGCTGCTGCCGGGCCAGTGCCCAGCGCGTTCCGCCAAGCAGTTGCGACCTGAGCACTTCTTAGAAATGGGAAGCATTTCGCGCGAGTGAACCGCGGAGACTGTTTAGAGCAAGGCTCCCAAGCCCAAGCTGAGCGCCCAGAAACCAGCGAAGCCTGCGCCTGTGCCTCCCGTCTTGGCAAGGCAGCTGAGCGTTTATCTCGCTTCCCTCCGCGCACGTGCTGTGTAGAATCTGTCGGACAGGTCGAGTATGCAGACGGCAGACGACGGGGCCGGCAACTTCACCATTGAGATTGCCCGCTCGCACTTGAACGAAAATCTGCGACGATGGCAGCTTGACCGCAAAGGTAAGAGGCTCGATGGCTGTTGGCTTTGGTCTTCCGCTGTCCTCAGCCACTTGCTGTCCAGGCGCCAGCCCACCGATATGCAGATAGAACAGCAGGGCCCAGACCACGCTGTGGTGTTTCGGGCGAGCCTGAACTTCCAGGCAGGGAAAGATAGAGCAGCAAACGAAGTCCTTGGCGTTGCTGTGTTGCTCTCACAGGTTCGAGGTCAAAGATTCTTCGAGTCGCCACCCGCTTGCAAGTGGTTCTTGAGCTGCTGCTCGGCCCACGGGACCTGAAACCAGGCATGTTGCGGCCAACAAGAAATTGGTTCAGAACGAGCTCGCACTCAAGGCTCGTCTCGCCTATCGAGCACAGTGCAAGTTCCAGAGTCCTCTGGGACTGGGGCGACGTTGCCGGACCTTTCTTGTGGTAGGGATTAGATTAGATTTAACTGTTCCAGGTGTGCCGCAAGCTCTTTGCAAGAGGCCATTCCGGCACTACTTATCCTGCCACACATGGGCATTGTGCCGCATGGTTTTAGGTCTTGCGCGTTAGGCACTTGCTCCAAAGGTAGGCAAAGACCAACTTGGCATGTGATGCTGGTGGATTGCTAGGTCTTGTGCCACCGTACAAGCGGAACAGTATGAAGAGTACGCCAGATGCCCAGAAATATTCAAGAAGCCTATGGGTAAGCTCTGCTCTGTTTGTGGTAGATATGCTCGAATGTGTGTGGGAGGGTGTGTGTGTGTGTGCGCGTGCGTGGAAAGCTTATTGGCATGTTGAAGATTTCTCCAGCGGGGGTATATAATTGGGCGCTCTGTGCCTGACCCAGTCTAAAGAAAACGGGTCGAATTTCCAACTCGTTGTGCAAGTCGTGAAGCTTTCGCAGTGTCGAGTCAGCTCGCCTACAGCCAGTGCCTGCCGTCAAGCTTCGTCTCAAGCCAGGCCTTGAGCCAGCCAGTATGTCGTGAGGCTTTCCCGAACTTTTCGGATCGGTGCAACAACGACTTCTTAGGTCTGCAGGCGACAAGTCTGCATCGATTTCCGTGCGTGTGCGTGTGTGTGTGTGGGTGGGTGTGTGTTGTTGAGTTTTTGTGTTCACGTGTGCACTGCGTGGGCTCAGCGTGACTTCTTCGACCGCAGGTTCTTCGAGAGCTTGCAGGCCAGAATTTGTGATCTTGACTTCACGGCACTTCACGGCCCACAGGCTGTTGCTTGCGATGTGCCAGCCAAAATCCTGCATCTCAGGAGAGCAAGTACTCTGAAGCAGGCTCCTTCGGCTTGGGTCTGCGTCTTGACTCAATCGTTTCTGCGATCTGTGGGGGCTCTAGTGACTCTAGCAGTTGACGAGGCAGCCTGCGCTGAAGGCGGTGCAGACACCTTGCTGGCAGAGTTTTTCAAGATACAAAAGCTACATGACAGGCGCGCCTGCGAAGCTACCTGCAGCAGCATGGGTACGAGGCATGCGGTTGTGTGGTGTCTTGCTCACAATTTCGGAGATCACTGCATGTAGAAGCCAGCATGCGCAGCTGTCGTTTTGAGTTGGCACTGGCTCGAAGTTGCGTGAAGCTGCCTGTTCATTACTTGTAGGTGTCAAGCTAGTTATCGGCCGCAAGCCAGGCTGCGGGAGCCTGATGCAATCAGCTGCAAGATGACACACACTTGGATGCTCATTCAGCAACTGATATGCCAAGCAAACGACTGAATTTCGGGTGGAATCCTGCTTAGCATATCGAAGCGGTGCAGACAGCCGCCGAATGGAAGGACCTCGCAGCACAGACTACATGCAAGCTGTGTCTGCATTCTCGAGCTGCCAAGACCTTGACGCGCAACACAGGACATGACGGAAATGACCGCCGAAGCAACTCTGCCGATCCTCGCTGCGTTTACAGGTCAGCAGCTTTGTTTGCTGCGCGTCGACGGTCGCGACAGCTTCTCGGAAGCAGCTTTTTGTACGCAGACTGCAACACAGAGGAGCATGTCGTGTGATGCGAAAAGCGCGCTACCAGACCTTCTTCGCAACTAACAAAACCAAATCTTTCCATTCGCCTTATGACTTCCTCAAGGTCTCAGCAGCCTCAAGACGAAGCTGCAAAGAGAGTTGCAGATCCCTGTGCGTGAGCAGCGCCTGCTCCCTTTGAGTGATGCCGCGGCCAGCCTCGCGCACATCGTGCAGGAGGCAGAGGAGGAGTGACTCACCCGAAACTGAGACGGAGAAACTCAGTGCATGCATATGTGTGTATATATATATATATACACACACATACATGTGTGTGTGAGCGTCAGTGTGTGTTTCGGTTGCTTGGTTGGCTGAGTCGTATTTTGCTTCCTACATGCCCGCCAAGGTGGGACATTTCCATTCCAGCTATGGTGCTCGTCCGCTTGGACCCCGATCGCATAAATGCCCTACACACCGTCTCTTCCGGTGGTGAACTGAGCGAAGGTTGTATGCTTCTTGTTAGCCCGGACGGATTTGCTGTCTGTCGCCGTGGTTCCGCGGCCTGAGTTCCCAGGTGGGTCGCTGCGCAGAATTCCTGAAGACTTCCGAGCAGATCGGGACATTGTCCTTGCAGCCGTTTCTAGAAACGGCTTCGAACTACAGTACGCAGGCGGTGCGCTGCAAGCTGACAAGGATGTGGCACTCGTCAGTGTCGCGGAGAACGGGCTTGCCCTCCGGTATGTTGCTGAAGAGTTGCGAGCCGACCGGGATGTTGTCTTGGCTGCTGTGCAGCACAACGGTGCTGCGCTGAGATACGCAGGAGAAGCCCCGCGGGCAGACCGTGAAGTCGTCCTTTGCGCGCTGTCGAACTGTGGGACTGCGCTGCCCTTCGCCTGCGAAGAGCTGCGAGCTGACCGAGGAGTCGTGCTGACAGCGGTCCGCGAAAGCGGACTCGCTCTGCGAGCAGCTTCGGGGCCACTCTGTGCCGACCGGTCCGTTGTTTTGGCGGCAGTTCGTCAGGACGGGCTTGCCCTGAACTTCGCTGCCCCTTCCCTGCAAGACAATCGTGAGATTGTTCGAGCCGCAGTTGCGGAGACGACCGTGGCCCTGTGCTACGCATCAGCAGCTCTCAGAGCTGATCCGGAATTTGCTGCCGTGGCTGCAGCGCTGCAGTCGGACGCGGAGAGCTCAAGCGACTCGCACGACGAAAACGCTAGCCGAGCGGGCCGAGCAGAGTGAGGACGACGGACCTCCGGCTCCTGGTCTTCAAGTCCATATTAGGAGAAGCAGAGTTGGAATTTGCCCTGCTGTGGAATTGACCCCGTGCCGCACTCACACGTCAAGCTCCCATCCCACAAGGGACCGTGGGAAGACAGTGAGGCATGAGCCTGGGTTCCGAGTCCTCCCTTGAGGGGACACCTCGAGTTTACAGTGCCGCGATCCCGCCAAAATCCAAGGCCAACGGCCCATGCAGAGTTCACAAGCTGTGTGTAGCATGGATGGACGCAGAAGCTCATTTTGGCGAGCTTGTGGTAGATTATTCGCGGCGATGGCTTGTACAGCAAACCAAGAGCAACTGCTCTTTTCCTCACCGGAGCCTGGAATCAAGCGATAGTGAATGTCGATTCTGACATTGACATGGTATGGGCCGCGTAGGGAGAGTGTGACACTGCTTCCGG